AAGTCCTTGACGGGATAATGGCTGACTCCTTAAAAATGAACCAAGTCTACACGGGCTACGGGAATCTTGCAGGGTCATCCAAGTCTCCATGAGGGAGGCAGGAAGCTTGTTTTAATTAGGATGGAACTTTCTGTCAGACACATCTCTGGGTCTGACCTCACCGCAGCACTTTCTCTCTCTCTCTCTCTCTCTCTCTCTCTCTCTCTCTCTCTCTCTCTCTCTCTCTCTCTCTCTCTCTCTCTCTCTCCCCGTTTGTCTGTCTCTGCCTCTCTCTCTGTCTCTGTCTCTCTCTGTATTTACTTACACAGATCCACACACATCCCCTGTATTTCCATGTATGAGGCAGATCACAGATGTTCTTTTTCTCCCAGAGTTGGTTTGTTCACTATTTATTTTCACATGGAGGAATCTGTCAATCAAACTTCAGGCTCAGAGCCTTGGCCTATCAGGGGCTGTCCCTGAGATAGTAGCTGACTTTTTTTTTTTTTTTTTTTGCCTCCACCAAACTTCTTTGTTCTTTTATCAACAGCGTTAGAACAGGACCTTGGGGCCTTTCCCATCCAGAGGGCTGGGAAGAAGCCAGACACCATCTTGTGAGGGCCTGCCATCTTGAATGGGTCTGTCCTATGAACACCCCATTTCTGTCTCTCCTCAGGAGCCTGCTGGCCACAGAGTCTGGGGCACCGAACTGGAAGCACCGGGATTGTCCCAGTGTTCCCCGCGGGCTTGTTCAGTGCTCAGCTTTGGGTGTCTGGTGAGCTGCTGAATCACTCCCTAGAGTGCGCACACGCGTCTCCAGACGTGAAGGCACACATGTGTGCTCGTCTCCCTTTCCTGCATTCACAACTGCAGGTACCACGGCAGTGTCGGTCTGGTTCCGGCCTTGCCTTTAAAATCAAGGAGCCAAGGCGCTGGTGAGTCAGTGAAGTCCTGAGAATTGGTGACACAGTCTGGATGGGAAGTCAGCTCTCTGGTTCCTGCGTATACACCCATTCCCCTCAGCAGTGTAGCCTGGATGTGTGCCAGCTCTCTTGTGTGCCAGAATCCCCCCTGTTCCTGGACCCGGGGCGGGCCTCTCTCACCCCAGGCCTTCCTCTCTGCTTACGGCTCTTTCTAGACCTGGCCTGGCACCAGGGATGACTGTGTCCCTGGTAGTAGGGATGTGGGAGGTGTTCCACCCACTTCAGGCGCTTTTGGTCCCATTCCCTCTCCTCAGAGCAGCTCCATTCCATCCCATTTTCAGAACCTCAGAGGGTCCCACAGTCAGCACTGCCCTCCTGGTGGACTCGCCCCCTCTGAGCCCGCCTGTTGGGAGCTGCAAGAGGAAGCTCACTTTGAAGGTCTTTCTTGGGGGGAAGGTTTGGTATCAGGCAGGCCTGTTGCTTCTTTTAATTATCACTTCAGGAAACTGAGGCCAGGCTTCTTCCCACAAGGCCATGCCTCCTAAATCTTTCACCATGCCCCAGAAGCACTATGAGGTGGAGGCCAAGTCTTCAGCTTATGAACTTTCACGGGGCATTCAAAGTCCCAACCAGAGTGGTGATGGTAGTGGAGATAATGGCGGTGATGATGGAGAGTGGTGATATTTACAGTAATAATGAAAGCACTGTTACTGATGTGGGATTATGGGGGTGGGTATGTTCATGTTTTTTTTTAAAATCAAGGCACAAACATTTCTTTAAAACATTTTTATTATATTTATTTATGCACATGTAAGGGACATGCACATTCCATGATGCACGTGTAGAGACAAAGGACAACTTAAGGAGGTTGGTTCCCTCCTACCATGTGGGGCCCAGGGATGGAACTCAAGCCACCAGGCTTGGCGGTAAGTGCCTTTATGTGATGGACCATCTTATATTGCACAGATGTTCATCTCTATGTTCAGCTTCTACTGACACTGACTCTCTGGAAGGTGCTCATTGGCTGCCACATCCAGTGGTGAGTAAGACTAAGAAAAAAAATGTGGTCTCTGTTGGCTAGAGACAGAGTTGGAACTCAACACAGACCTCCCCATTCTAGGACTCCAGACCTGGAGAGTTAGCATCTTCTATAGGCCAAAGGCACCTGGAAAAGCATGACTGTGGACCTCAACACGCTTGCTTAGGACCTGAACCACAGGGGGCAAGGAACGGGTGTGCATCACAGAGGCTGGGAAGTGTGTCTGAGGGAGCCGGTGCGTCTCGTGTCCTGTCCTCCTATGGCATTTCCCCAGGACCCTCTTCTGGCTTTGGTTGGTCTTTCTACTTCTTCCCCAGCTCTGAAATATGGTTGCTTCCCTGGACCCTTGGGGGCTCAACCCTGTAGTTTTATATCCACCTTCTCAACCCTACCCCTGTTGCAGCCACATTACCCTCCCCAACGACACCTCTGATACTTTCAGTCCCTGTTCTGGAGGAACTCTCTAGCCATCACTGAAGCCTTCCACAGCCGTCAGGCTGCCCTCACTGTCCTATGCCCTCAGCATTAGAACCTGGCATTCGGAGTAGTCAGTTTCTTGCTCTTTGTACTATGCCTACACCCTACTCTGGACCCTGTCGGGCTTCTGGGTTCCTGATCTCTTCCACTGGGGTCTCCATTACGCTTGGATGCATTTTCATCTCTCTCTCTGGAGTTTACAATCCAACTCAGCACCCCAAGGCTTTGTTTTCTGCTTGGACTGGCTTTCCCTTTTCTTCACGGAGAAACTCCGCTCTTTCTTCATGCTCAGGATGGACACTAGCTGCAACGCGACCGCCTAATTCTCTCTTGGGTGCCACAGCCCTGCTTGCCCTTCCCACTAGTTCTCAGATGGATGGGACACGCTCTATGCCTCTTCATCAGGGTCTCAGTCACAGTTTTTTTTTTAAACATGAGTTACAGTGGAGGGTGGGGGTGATGCCATCCATCTGGCACAGAGCAGGTGCTCAGGGTGCTTGCCGGGTGTAGCAGAGCTGGGGTCGCCATCATTTAGCAAACATGTGTTGTATGTCTCTGCTCCCATCCAAGCATTCAAGCCCAAAGCCTGCAGGCAAATGGCAGGAGGGTGGTGGGCTGACACACAGCGGGGGGATTCTGCACTTTGGGCTTGAATGAGTGAAGTGTAGCCAAGGGCCTGCAGCCCCAGCTGCTCAGGGCACGAAGGCTTCTCTGCCGCTGTGCTGACATGTCGCGGACACCAGAGGGCTCGGCAGGAGCCAAGTCTCAGCCTGCTGGCAGCAGCCACTGTTTAGAGGAGCATCGGGCCTCTCTGTGTGAGCCCTGTGAGCCAAGCCGAGTTCAGTCTGTGGGGACAGGAGAGGGAGCTGCTGAGCAGCTCTCAGGGTGCCTGCTGTCTCTCTTCAAAGGCTCAGCTGGGTAGTGAGGGCACAGGGAATAGATGAAGGCTGGCTGGGTGAAGCTAGCGTTGCTATTAAGCAACAGCCCTAGATCTCTTTGTTTCTCTGCTCTTTCCAAAGTGGCAAAAGATCAAGGCCCCGAGCTTGAAATAACAAAAGGGAAATAGCTTGCAGACTGTGCATCTGGAGGCCAGAAGGACTGTGAGAGCTGTGCACAGAGGGGTGGGGGAGGGGTGGGGTCTGGACCTGATTCATAGACTTCTCTGTGCTCCCACAGCCTGGCAGCGTGGGCTGAGGTTGGCCTGGTGTAGTTCCTTTCCCTGGCAGTGGGGCATAGTTGCAACACCTTGCTTTTGGGCTTTGGGACCCCGGTGCTGGCTGGGTCTGCATACAGGTTCTGGCCACATCACTGGCCTGTCACTGCCAACCTCCTCAGGTCCCGAGTGCTTGATCTGGGTCACATCCTGTGGCTGAGGTTAATGAAGATCTACTGCAGAGTCTCCAGCTTAGCTGACGACATGTGCAGTCACCTGTCTGTGATTACCAGGGCCTGAGGAAAGGCAGTTTACACAGCACCACAGACTTCTCCTGGGGCAAGGGTATCATATACAGGGCACTGCACCTGGGCTCTACGTCAGACTTCTCTGAAGTCAGCCCACCTGCTGGTCTGTCCCAGAGTTAGGACTTGCTGAAGAGTTTGCCCAGCATCCTGGCCTCAGGGCTGAAGTGTTCTTTGGAGAGCCAGCAGGAAGGGAGCTGGGGTTCTGAGAAGTGGGGAGAGCGAGGATTTCGTGTCATCCACACACCATACCTTGCACCACTCAGGAGTCAACTAGCATGACCATGGGGACGTCCACCACCAAGTGGAAGCCGACACTAACACAATGCCGCCATTGACTGGCACTAGGCTTCCAGGCTCGGCACAACTGGTTACAGGGTATGCCTGGCAGGTGGATTTCTGCCCTTGTCAGAAACAGCTGGTGTTGGGAGATGGTGGGTAGGTTGTCTAAGGTTACACTGCTGGCGAAGCAGAGTTAGGATTTGAATCTAAACCTCCTGACAACCAACTGTGTCACTTTCCAGAGGCCTTGCCTCCCAAGACCTCAAGTAGGCCGATCCCTTTCTCAGAAAGCCATCTTTCTAAAACGCTGTTTGGGTTCCATCACATCCCACTTCAAAAGCTGGCAGCAGACCTCATCTTTAGAGGTTCTTTTGGATACTGGGGTGACAGATGACCAGGGTGCTGGAAACGTTCCTGCATCAGCCCTCATGGCAGAGGCAGGTTATTGATTGGTTATGGGTGTCTTGTCAGCTGTCCAGGGTCCTGGATGTCTGTCAGGGTTCAGGCACTGGGTGGGTTCTGATTGTACAATATTCTAGCTGGACCACTGGCAGAAGGTGCTGCTGCAGGGGTGAGGGTGGGGGGGGATGAGGGAGGTGGGGCCTCTCTGAAGCTGTTTCATCAGCACCAGGGCTGGTGGAAATAAGAATAAAGCTGCAGTATGTCAAGGGGGAGGGAACATTAGCAGAAGCTCCCAGGGACGCCTGCTTCAGACCCAGACTGGGTTCTGTCTCCCCCCCCCATAATGCCTTGGGTCTGGCATCATGAGGCCTCCTCAAGTCTCTATTTGTAGAGCTTTAGGAAGTATAGCCTCATTTCCTGATTTATTTTCTCATTTTTAGTGGGATTTGTGCCGGGAGTTATACACTCTTTAGTCTGCTACAGTGAAACGGAAGTCAACTGAATGTCAATGGAGGGGGCATGCAATGTAAGTAATCAGGACTACAGACTTGTTTATACGATAACACTTTTTATGGCAGGTTAATGTTTTGGGTCCTTCGGCTCTGTGATTCCAGTCACTTCTTTCACAATGGACTTTCCCACTGCAGCGGGAAGAGCCAGGCAGGGCCCCAGAGAGAAGGTATACCTGATCTGGAAGAATGGAGCTCTTCATGCAGTGATGGACACTGGCTTGGGGCTTTCACTGTTGCAGGACAAGTGACTGAAGTGGCATCTACCCTTCCCCTGGCTAGCATCCTTGGTAGACTGCAGTCAGACCCTGGGCAGCATCGGATCTGAGCTGAGGTTTTCCAGCTCAGTGGCCCAATGCTGCTGTGGCTCAGACGGTGTTGTGTCTTGATCCTGGGCTTGGATTGGATCTCCAGGGCTGATGCTGTTGGGCGTCAAGTTGTAGAGGCTTTTCCACCACAGTGCGCACCTTCTCTCGAGTGTTGTTTATCAGATGGGGTTGGTATACCCCCTGGGCCTTTCTCAGGAAGCCTGTGTTGCCTGTGAGTCTAGACTCTTGGTGTTTGCTCATTGTAAGCTTTGCAGAGCTTCTGGAATATGTTGCCTTGAAACAAGGTTCCTGTCATTCAGGGTGGTGGAGTGACCAGACAAAACCTCCTTTTAGACATGCTGACCCTCTCAGCACTTCTAGTCCAAAGAGTGCAGTCATCACAAAAGCATGGTTCACAAGATGGTATCATAGGGGTGGGGCAAGTTTCCCATTAAAGGGTGGTGGATTTCAAATAAGGAAGGCAACTTAACAGTGCACTTTGGGCAATCGTCTGTCTATGGCGGGGACATGTTACCTAACAGTTAACATTCATCTACCATTACACACCTCTAACAAAATGCCAGGAGACTAAGGTCTAAGAAAGGCAGACTGAACAGTTCTAGAAGGACATGTAGGGAAATGTTCTTATCTCTTTGAGGAGCAGAGGATATTTTGAGGTTAGACCCAGAAGTAGTTGATATTAGGAGTGATCCAGAACCAGCCATGGAATCTCAGAACTTACCTCGAGGTAGGCACTTCTATTACTTTCTATGCTGGGTGCTCCATGAAGGACTGTACAATCTACTCCATGTGGACATGCAGGGACCCACAATGGCTGAAATTCTACTATTTGGGGTGGCAGTGTTGGGAGAGAGACGCTTGGAGGGTCACATGCTAACTCTCTTATGTTTTGACAAAGGCAGGATATGTATTGTTCCTGCCTATTGGCTCGTTCTGCCTATTGTCTAGAACTCAAATGTGTGGCAAGGGGTTGGATCAATGTAGGGACCCAGTTGAGCATTTGTGAGCAACATAGTTTCTGCTACAAATTCTATGCCAGTGTGCGAAAACACACAAAACTAAGATGGAATGAATGGCTTTCTAAAGAAGTGCAGATTAGTGTAACAGATCTGAGATATATATCAAGAGAGATGCATGGAGGACTATGAAAAAAACTTTTAACTGTGGTGACTGGATCCTATGCTCATGGTGTTCTTGGATGGATAGTGTGTATGTGTGTGTGTGTGTGTGTGTGTGAGAGAGAGAGAGAGAGAGAGAGAGAGAGAGGGAGAGAGGGAGAGAGGGAGGGAGGGAGAGAGGGAGAGAGGGAAAGAGAGAATCCTAGAACTAACCCAGGGATGGGCACCAGGTATGCAATATAACATATACTTGAGAGGACAGAGGGGGAAGGGAAGTTGTAGGCAGACTTCTTTCCCACATGCCAAAAAGTTGACACAGAGACTTAAAATTATTTATAAATGTTTGAGTGATAGCTCAGGCTTATCACTAACTAGCTTTTACAACTTAAGTTAACCAATAGTTTTTAATCTATGTTCAAGCACGTGGCTTTTACCTCTATCTCATTTTGTGTGCCTGATTCATTCTGCTTCCGGCTGGTGGCTCCTCTGACTCCACCCTTCTTCTTTGCCGCATACTCTCTGCCCCGAAAATTCGGCCTACCTATCTCCCAATCAGCTTTTTATTAACAACAAGAGCAACACATTTCACAGTGTACAGCATTGGAAGCGCTGTAGTAGTGGCATGGATACCATGTTTTGCTCTCCAGTTCTTTCAAATCTAGTGAACATATGGTCAGGTCTGGTCCCTTCAACCATGGAAGCCCTGGGACGGTCTTCCAAACACAAAGGCGCAACAGGGAAGAGATGACACCCACCCAGGAAGTGGGGTGCTGTTAATGTCACACCAGGGAAAAGAGAAGCCTGAAAGCCAAGAGCAAGACACAATGGCCACCAGACTGTGGAAAGTGTTGGAGAATGTGGCAAAGAGCCGTAGTCAGCCTATTGGTCATTGTAAGAGGCTTAGGGCATCACAGGAAAACAGGTGCTATGATTCAGGGCTGGTGGTCCCAAATACTTCAGAGGCTGAGGTAGGGGGATTACAAAGTTATCCTAACTACATAGGAGATTACTGTACACTATCTTAAAAAGGGAAATATAGTCTATGTAGAAATGAATATATTTAGAGTTTATGATCCACAGTTCAAGGCTATGGGGCACCTGCTGGGTTGGGTAGGGGGACAGACATATGTGTCTTCATAGTCATAGGACTGTAGAAGCTCACCTCCATGCCAGCACCCCTTGGCACTGAGCCTAGTAGCTGTGTCTGGATGTGTGGGAGCAGAGAGTTGACTCAAGCATTTCCCAAATGCAGAAATGGACACAGTGACATCTTGAATGGGCAGGTGAGATCAGCCTGCCCGGGAATCTGGAGCAAATGGCAGGTCACAGGATATAGAGTGGTAGGGAACATAGAACAGAGGTTTTGAAAAGTAAGTGGTTCATTTCAGATCTTCCTTAGAGGGGCTGAGGTATCTTCTTTAACATGAGTGCTGGACAGGGCCTGCTGGTAGACAGTTGTCTCTTGGAGCTGACCAGGTTATGTTGACTAGGTTTATATAGGAGTCCTGGACTCTTAATGGCGAAATTCAGTCTTCATTTCTCATCTTTCTGTTCTCAGAGCCACCAGGATGGCTACACTATACTACCAAAAGCAGAGAGAGATGGCATCTAAATCAAGTCCCTGTGTAGCCTGGATGACTGGGAGCTGCAGAAAGGTCCAGAGAGGAGGGCAGATGACTCTGAGTCTGACCTGTCCAGGTTCAGTCAGCAGTAACCGTGAACCCGAGGCTCTCTACACACTCCATGCTGGAGTGGCTAAACACAACCCCTTCTTGTTTGTCTTGAAACATAGCTGTCTGCAAAACACCCCAGGAGCCCACAGCAAAGAGCACTCCAAATGCACGGGGTGCCTCTGAGTTTATTTGTCTCAATGTATTCCAGTTACATAGGAGCAAGGCGTGATGACACATCCCCTGCTGACTGAAGCCCACGGCCTGCGTGGTGGTGGGGGTGGGGGGAGCATGGGCGTGGGGAGACGTGTTTCCTAGCTCCATCTAATGTAAAGCACCTTTAGCCGAGTGAGGCAGCAAGAAGGATGTGGCTAAAACAAATAAAAATCATTGCAGGATCAAAGCACATGCACAAATGTATTCCTTCTGGAAGCAGCATCTCCTTCTCATTCCCCCCAAGTCGTCCTCTCTCCAGTCACAGCAGTTCTCGGTGGCAAACAGCCGGGATGCTGGGATGCCCTTTGCTCCCCGGAGCCCCAGTATCGTTTTGATTCTGACTGACGGGGCCAGGGCACCGCACCGTGGCTGGTTTGAAGGAGATCTGAGACCTTCCTAATTCCGTGATGGGCGTGAATAAATAGTGTGAAGTGTCACACTAATTAGACCCTTTCCTGAACAGTTCAAAGACAGACATGCTGGTGAGGGATTGTTTGAAGCCCAGAGCCCAGGGACTTCAGGATTTTATCAATGGCTTCCATCCCCTGTCCCCAGCATGTGGTGACAGTGCCCGGCTGCTGCTGGGTGAAATTTTCTGTGCGATCCTCTTGTAGAGGAAGTTCTGGTGTTACCGATCCTAATTTCTGTGTCACCATCATTGTGGCTGATAGAAGGCATTGCTCACCAGGGATCCCACAGAAAGTGCACCTTGTCTGGAAGTCTTGGGCGGCTCAGGCCTCGGGTAGTTATGCTAGCTCAGGCGGGGCAGGCTGGGCATGGGGAATGTTTGTGCCTATGATGGGAAGCCATGGGGTTTACCTTGGTGCAACGAGTACTTTCCCCCCTCTCTGCCCTGTGCTTTTTCCTTGATCCTACACGCTGGTGACTCTTCTTGCAAAAGCCTCAAGCTGCCAGGCCCATGCCACCACTCTCTGTCAACAGAGAAGACATAGCCTCTCACCAGCCACTATGTAGCTAATCTTAGGGCAGGACTTTGATTGGCCATGCTCAGTCACGTGTCCAGTCTTGGCTCAATATTTGTGCTCAGGAACATGGAATCTGTGGTCAGCTAGGTTTAAATCACACGCTCACCCAAAGCACGGTAAGGCAGTATGGGCTGTGGTTATCAGTCCCAGCAGAGACCATGCGTGTCTGAAGTGGACATTCTTGTCTAGTTACAAGAGGGACTGTGGCCAGTAAACAGACAGCCATTAAAGGCTTGGGGGTTGTTTGCCTTGTCCAGTGGGAGTGCTAAGCAAGCGATGTTAATACTCTCTGAAGAGAAGGGACTGCGGCCAATAGGCTGGAGGCATGCCTCTCTGAATTCCTCTGTGTGTTAGTCTCTTGCAGCTCTTGGTTTCAAGGGTTTTAGTCCATGCCCAGTGGGCTGTATGCTGTGAGCCTGTGATGAGGCAGGAACAAGGAGTGCTCACACGATGATAGCCAGGATGCAGAAGGATGGGGAGGAAGGAAAGGCTTACAGACAAGACACACGGCTCACAGTCACACCCCTAGTTGGCCCACTTCCTCTGACCAAGCCCCACGGTCTAAGGGTCCAATCAGCTATGACTTTATCAAAAGGTCACTTCATTGATGACAAAGCTAGAGCCCTCTCATGATCTGGTCGCCTCTCTAGAGTGCTGCCTGCCCCAACTGAGCGTTCAACCCGGTGTGTCTTGGGGAGGGGGTGTATTTCATAATACTGAGAGTTCCCCACACCTCCTGTGGCTCCTTGTCTTGTGAAATACTAGGAGAGAAAATGAAGCTTTGGATAAATTTTATTTGATTTGTCCAAACTCTAAAGTCACCTGCCTGGGAGGATTCAGGAAGAGCCTCCTCTGTGGTTGAGTATTCCTACCCTGTGCCCCAGGCTGACCCAGTGTGTGGGTTCCCTGGTGCCTGGACTCCTGCCTCTCCATCCACACTGGCCATTCATCCTGAGTTCCAGCCAGAGCTCACACATAATGGAGAGGTACACTCTTCCCACAGGCATCCTGGGACATCCCTGAGCACCTCCGTACCCAGAGCGTCTGCCTGCCGTGGAACGTGTCGTAGTCTGTCTCTTCCCTCCTAGACTTTGATAACAGGGGGCATGGTTTCTTTTTCTTGTCTATTGATGTGCTACCAGCAGCCACCAAGCCTGAAACTCAGGGGATCATCAATAAATATCAGACAACGTTTCCGGAACAAAGATCAATCATTTTAGCAGGATAAAAATCACAACAGCTTAACTAAACTGACCAAAAAATATTGCCAGGGTACACTGATCAAAAACAGGTACATGGTGAGGCTGGAGAGATGGGTCAGTGGTCAAGAGCACTTGCTGTTCGTCCAGAGGACCAGGGTTCAGTTCCCAGCATCCACACTACAGTTCTCAACCACCAGTAAAGTTTCAAGAGATCTATCGCCCTCTTGTGGCCTCTGCCGGCACAAGGCAAGCATGTGTTATACAGACATACATGCAAGCAAAAGACAATGTACACATAAAATAAAAATGAATAAATCTTAAAAACATAGGTAGGTGTTTGTTTTATTTTATTTTAGAACAGCATACATGCAGAAGAGCAGAGAATCGATGGAAGGTTATGAAATGCATATATTTAAAACAATGACAGTGTCCTTTCAATGTATTTGAGAGGACAGAAAGAAAAGTAGACAGCATAGCAAAAGCATAAAGCTGTAACACAGAGGGAACACTAGGAAATGTGGGTATAGAAAGGCTAAACATAGTCATGGAAGGAAATGGAAGGAAAGTCCCGTGTGCTAAGATGGTAACCTGGCTCCCACGGTACCTGTTGCTTGTACCACAAACTGTATCCACACTGCTGCTCGCAGGGGAAGCATGAGGCGCCCATCTGATGGCTCTTTCCCAATGAAGACATCTACCTGTTGGGGGTAGAGCTCATGGCACTTCACATGTGACCATCTCTGAGTGAGGCTCTGAGACCAGCATGGAATGTTCTGGAGCCCTGAGGGAAACAGCTAGGGCTTGGTCGGGTGTGCATCAGTTTCATTCTTCCCTCTGCTCCGTCCAACTGTCCTCCCTTCCATGACCCTCTAAGAATCCTACATGTTGTCCTCCTGTCCCATGACTCGTGACCTCCAGCTCAGCTTCTGTTTCTGAAGAGTCCCATGTACCAGGTCCTCCGCCCATGGGACACTCCCTGCTCCCCCTCCAGATTCTCTACCTGTGAGGCTGCCTCACTCTCCAGCCTAGGATGACATAGACTGTGAGCATGGAACTCTTTTCTAGAGGTTTCCAAGAGCAAGGAACATGTGGTAATGGATGCCAGGAAGACTTCCGACTGTGACCACACTATCCTACAGTGTTACTTTAAGGGCCATCATCCTGGGCAAACCCTGCTCAGGAGTCCCTGTGGAAAAGGGGCTTGCTGGAATGCTGTCCACGTGTGTCTCATGTAGGCTCCCTGGGCTACTCCTTGGGGAGGGCAGCAGACTCCCCCAAAAGGGGGCCCCCACGATATGCTTACAAACTATGTCCCCAAGATTGCTGTCCAATGTGTTTTGAGCAAATACACGGTTCAGGCACTATACCTGGTCCTGTGTAAATAAAGACTTGCTCACAGGGCTCATAGCCTTCCCACAGAGGTAGACGTCATGTTCCCAGCTGGGAGGCCTGAGGGGCCAAGCTGTCTGGGTGCAAAGATAAAGCTCCCCATGGAGCAGGTTGGCTCTTGGCCACAGAAGCCCTTAAGGGGTGCAGCTGGCTTGGGGTGAGGTGGTGTCTGCCTCCTGCTCCATGTATTCTAGTTTTCCAAGGGTGTTGCTGGTTTAAAAATAGGCCTGTATTTGGGGAATGGGTGCAGGAAGGAGGCAGCCATGGGAGGAGCTGTGGGCTGGATGTGGGTGTAGCCAGGGCTAGAAGCAGGTCATTGTGGAAGGGCAGGTCAGGGTGGTCCTGGCCAGCTTCCTGGCTGAATCAGAGTCGGTTGGAGATCAAGGAAAGCAGGTTAGCCGTTAGTGTCTCTGTTTATCTTGGCGCAGAGTCGGCACTAAGCTGCTTACACTTGTGCCTCCCTCTTCTTGCCTTCCGACCTCCTCTGGCCTCTGGCAGACTGGCCTACTGAGATGAATGTTTCTGTTTTGGGGTGCAGAGCCCAGATATATGGCCAGCTCAGTCTCACTCCTCTGAGAACCGGCTTGTGACTTCTATATCTTGTAAAATGTGCCCTAGGTAGACCAGCACTTCCTACCCATAATTCTAGATTATCTGTCTGGCTCAAGTGGGGTCACCCTACCCATACCTACTGCTTGCCAGGGTTCCATGGGCTATGGCAGGTCTCCGCTGCAGTGGGGAGGTCAGGGCCCCAATCTGTGGTTGGGTCTGGCCTAGATGGCCTGGGGGACAACTCTGGCTGCATTCTTGTGTCAGAACTGTCCCTTTGACTTTCCCTCCAGGGAAAGTTTCCTATACTTGTCCCTTGTCAAGGAGTGAGACCCTTGTGCCATTCTAGAGTTTTGTACATTGCTGAGGCTGATCCCCCTGCAGAGTCTTCAGACCCCTTGAAAGTGTGACCACAGTGTTTCTTTAATCAGTCCTAGCTTCAGGTGGCTTGACCACGTTTTCCTTAAGAGCGGTGAAACCACAGTGAGAACAGCACAGTGAGAGCAGTGAGAACAGCACTGGTGAGAACAGCTCAGATGTGAACTTGGGATCCCCTGTGCTTTAGAGGAAGTCTCAAGCTGAGGACAGGAAGTTGAAAGTCATTGCAGGTGTTGCCCACTTCATCCAGTGGTTTCTGGGCTGTGGAGACTCAACAAGGAGATCTGCTGTGCTCATCCTGGGTCTACCTACATTAGGGTCCCGGGTACATTAGTGACCTTTCCTTTTCACTGCTGTGACAAAATACCTGGTGCCAGCAACTTAGCAAAGGAGGCATTTGTTTTGTCTCGTGTGGGGACACAGTCTACTGCGGTGAGGAAGGAGTAGCCTTGGTGGTGTGGTGGGAGTTTCAGACCACGCTGCACCCACAGTGAGGACCCAGAGAGGATGAGCTCCCTTTCGCCATTTTCGTCATTTTCCCTTTCTCATTCAGTCAGGCACTGCTGTCTGTGGGACCATGCTCACACTCTGATCCCAGCTTAGCCAAGAGCACTAGGGTACAGAGAGGGGCTTTAGCTCAGGCCCAAGTGTGGTTTCCCAAGGTTTACAGTGTAGCCCACCAA